AGATAGAAGCGTATTTAGGTGTCCACATTTTGCCGACCATACTTCCAGTTGCATTCACGTCACAAGGTTAAAGTCTATCGCTGCCAATCGGACACATACGTATATTTCTAAATAAACATCCATACTAATGTCATAAATGCGAAAGTGTGTCTGTCTGTCTGTTGCTTCTTCACGCTTAAACCGCTGAACCGATTTGGATGAAAATTTATATACAGATCGTCCGAGTCCCGGGAAAGGACATAGGGTAGCTTTTATCCCAGAAAACAACCTTTAAGGGGGTTAAAACGGGGGTTGAAATTTGTATGAAGAATCAATAACCGCTGAACGCCTATGTCCAGCAGTGAACTGTGGTTTGACTGTGACTTGGTGCATTGGAGGGAGGGAGGGACTGAAATTATATGTTTTTTTTTATGCAATACTAAAGCCACTCAGCGGCACTATGGTTATATCTATGCCTCTTTTTAAATACATTGATAGAAAATTAAACTATATTTATTTATTTATTTAGTATCTTTATAAAGCGTGCTTCTACAGATTGTAAAGGGTTTTTTTTTGCATTGGGGTCACAGCAGAACTCGTTTCTTAACCTCACGTCTGATATCATAACCTCCCGTTGGGTCTTTAAGGTCACACAATTTATTGTGGTCAAGGCACTTGACATTCCAGGATGCTAAAGCTCGCCGGTATGTACCACATCTGGAGTAATTTCTTCTAAGAAAATCGTTAATTATTTGTTTTTATAGGCACGAATTTTCTATAATCGTTTCAGAAGCAATGAACGGGTTCTATTTTTTTGTAAAAGCACATGTAATATAATTCTTGTTATGGTAAAAATAAGAAAGATGAACATTATAGAAAACCAGTGGATTTCGCAAAATGATATAATTTCTGTTGACTTTTTTAAAATTTAAATTTAGGTTTCTAAAAAGAAGTTCGAACTCCTTTGACTGGGACATTATACACATTATATTTTCGAAATATGAATGACTTTTTTAATTATATTTTTTGTTACTTTTAAGAATTTAACTTGTAACTTTGTTCGCTTGGTTGATGGTATTATTATTTTTTCACTGTGCTTGCTGTGGTCTCCTGTAAGTGAAGGAGTACACCGACTTTAAACCCATTCTGTTAATTACTGTTTTTTTACTTCTGTATATCTTTCGTAGGAGATCCTAATAAGTAAATAAACATTATAACAAGTACCTAATTTTTACACAAACATTATAAATTACAAATAATATTAGTATTTAAAATAGGTAATTGGGATATTCGAAATTTTCGTACTGCCCATATTCAAAATTATGTAATTTGGACTTGAAGGTATGATGAAATCACACTGAGAGGAAGAAGTTTCTTTTGAGTGTATGAACCTACAGACACAAAGAAATTCTTTGAAATCGTTCAAGCGGTTTAGGAGTTCAGTGACACACAAGTACACAAAAATGATATTTATGTAAGTACACTTAAAAATACGGTTATAAGCTTACGGATATTTACAGTTCAAGTTTGAACCCCTCCCATTCTCCGCCCTTCTCTCCTAGGGGGAGAGAGGGTTTGAGTTCAGATAACCTCACTTACTCTGTGAAAAGCTACGAAAGAATTGCTGTACACCGGTTTTTACTGAGGCCGTCGTCACTACGATTAGGCCAGGCCTTTTTAGGCCTAAGCATGGGTGTCCTACGGTAGCTATAAACTTTACAGTTGCGACTGGTAGCAGTCGGACTTCAAAAAAATCCCACATGTACACTTAATAATAATAATATTTTCGGACATCTGACACACAACGCCATCTATATTCAAACTAAGCAGAGCTTGTACTATGAAAGCTAGATTAACTAATAGAACATATATATATATACATACATAGAAAACACCCAAACTACGAAACAAATATTTGCAGATCATACAAACATTTGGTCTGACCCGGGACCTCAGCACAGCAGTCGCATACGCTAACACTTCACAAAGTAATAATAATAAAGTACTGAGAAAAAGAAAATAACAATACGATAAAACGATTAAAAGCGGAGTAGAAACTAAACGCGGGTGTCACTCTGCGTATGACGTTTAGTTTTCAAATAGCACATCTTCACATCAATCACATCAACAGCCTTTAATAGTCCACTGCTGGACATAATAAGCAGGACAACAGCACTGCAAAGAGAACGAAAACTTGAAACAAACCCTATACCAACCCGTCTGGCCAGCGTGGTATAGTAGGCCAAAACCTCCTTTCTAAGGAGAGGCCTATGTCCAGCAGTGGACTAGTATAGGCTGTTGATGATGATGATGATGGACATAGGCCTCTCCTTAGAAAGGAGGTTTTGGCCTACTATACCACGCTGGCCAGACGGGTTGGTATAGAGTTTGTGTCAAGTTTTCCTTCTCTTTGCCGTGCTGGTTGTCCTACGTTTGTTCCCTTAGTCGCCTCTTACGACACCCACGGGATGAATAGGGGTGGTGGCACTTCGTATCCTTAATCCGTCACCGTCACATCTTATTATATAATACAAACAAGTTATGCAGCTTGAAAAGGGGAACTTCTATTTACTAATAGCTGATAACTTGAACATTGGCCTACCGACCTTTAGATAATAGGTATTATAAGATCAACCATATCAATACATTATATATCATTTCTTCGTATTCACTAATACACGATTACAGTTTTACAGATTTATGTCTGTTGCTGTAAAATCTTAGGTTTTATTAGTAAATCTTAGTATATACCAACTAGATAATATTTCGATCTTTTCAGATCCATCTTAACCTAATCGACATTGTATTAGACTAGATTAGATTTTGAGTTTCTCGTATTAGTGATTTGGTTTTAACGGAAGTTGTATGTAGATGACCTTATGTAACTGAAATAACTGAAATTGGAAACCGCATCTTGATCTGTGGCATATTTTAGGAGTTAGCAAATACCCAGACAGATGGCTACTTTGTTTTATATTATGTAAAGATAGTGAAATAAATTTTTTGTTTCAGATTTTTGCGAATTAAATATTAAGTGTTTGTGACCTTATAGCTGATGAAGTATTGTTAAGTGTGTTGTATAATTTATCTCAATAATGTTGACAATTTGACCTCTGAAAGTACGTATGAAAACAAATTTAATTTTATAAACAAAATATATGAGTATAAAGAACCTACTGCCAAGACGTAAAAATGGTGTCTCAGATAGGTGTGTATTCATGTAATACTTTGTTAACCGACTTCAAAAAGGAGGAGGTTATCAGCTCGGATCTTTATATATTTTTTTATATTGTTTGTTTGGGCATAACTTCTTCATATATAGACATATTTTCCAAATTATTCTTCTAGGTTTCAGTTTGAAGTCGGTTCAACTATTAAAAAAAAGGATTAGCTTGTTAGATTCAGATTTTTTAGGAATATAACTTTTTTTATGCCACAAGGAATATAACTTTTTTCACAAACACGTTGCCGACCTTTGAGGTGCAAGTACGCTCTTTTCTTATAGGTTTGAAAGTCCGGTACCGCAGGCGAGGAAATTACCGTGAGAGCCGTGTTTTCGAAACAAATGGACCGGCTGATGCCAAGACCTCACAGTGCCTTTAAGCAAAAGCAAGGGGGCCTAACTAGCAAACCCTAATTCTGGAATTGAATTACAAATGTTCAAAGGCGGCGGTCACTTAACATCAGGTAACCCATTTATATAACTTATTTCGTGATGAGTTAGGACATCTACACTTCTAAGAACGTGATACTCAGAGCTCCTAGTCTGTATAGATCATCAACAGCCTTTAATAGTCCACTGCTGGACATAAGCCTCTCCTTAGAAAGGAGTTTTTGGCCTACTATACCACGCTGGCCAGACGGGTTGGTATAGGGTTTGTGTCAAGTTTTCTTTCTCTCTGCAGTGCTGTTGTTCTGCGTAGTTTTCTCCCTTAGTCGTCTCTTACGACACCCACGGGATGAATATGGGTGGTGACACTCTGTATTCTTAATCTGTCACCACACGGACGATGTATAGAATCGACTACCTATTACTGACACTAGCCATGCTTACGAGTATTTGTCACCCAAGAGTCTAAAAAGGTTAGTTTAGGCATAAATAACAAAAAATATATATTTATTGTTAAGGCACGCTTTGAGTAACATTCATAAAAACATAAATTACAAATTATAGAAACTAAATAACACGCATTCGTAACTAGCCGAAACAAAAAGTAGAAAATAATTTTCTAAAGTTCAAAAAAAAAACATTTCATCTTAGTTGTTGCAAATTAAAATTTTATTGACAGATATTGGTGAAAGTAAAGTTATTTTATCATAAAATATTATGATCCCCACGCTTTTTTAAATGTTTTTGAACTTTGATTGAACTTATAGACAATTATTTTGTACTTTTTAGTTCGACTAGTTACAAAAGCGTGTTTTTAGTGTTTTTTAACTATAATTTATTTTTGTTTTCTATTTATTTATTATTTTCTCATTAAGAGTAACAAGTACGCCTCATACACACGCACACACGCCTCTAAGTACGAAGCAAAAAACACTACCGTGTATTTAGGTATGGAAAAAGCTGTTAATCCGTTATCAAATTATTCTATTGCCATCAGTCCTATCCAAATTAAAACTTAGCACACCTAGTGCTCAGTTTTAATTTAATTCGACGTTTAGAAGTGGGTCAGTATCACTTTCAAAGATTCCGTTAATACATAAGAAAGCTAATAAAAGCGTGTTAAAATAGAAAACAAGGGTAGGTACTTTTAAATTTATACTAAATATTGTGAATGTACAAGGTAAAAAGCAGCCTGTTAATATTTTTTTATAAAACTTGAGCGCCAAACAAAAAATAACCTAATGTGTACAGAAATACCTACTATTTTTTATCAAACACTACTTCGTGTCATACACACTTGAGCAATAATAGAAAAACTCCGCAGAATATACAAACTTTTTTTATCAAGCACTTGACAACTTTGCCGCGTATTCTAGTGTCAAAAGAGACAAAAATAGAATGATAAACTCACCGAATTGACACCACACAGTTTGAAAAATCACACACGCACAGAGTAAAACACAAAAAATCTTTGCCATTGTCACTTTAACACGATCGCGAGCAAATAAAATGAAACTTAAATTAAAATGGTTGCGTTCGCGCCACGAGTCTATTTTGCACTGACAGTGAACTCGACGAAGAAGGTTATTATATTAAGTTTGATAATTACGTCACTCCGGAGGTAACTGAAAGTTACTTGGAGGCGATTCTGGTATGTATGAGTAACACGGAATTAGGGAAGTCGGGTTTTTTTTTAGTAGTAATTGTTTGCTGCCCATGGTCTATCGATAAACTTCTTTAAATAGGTGTAGATCCATCAATGATAATATTATTGTAAGCAATTCTTGTCTGTCTGTTATGCTTTTACGGCTAAACGGCTGAACCGATTTTAATGAAATTTGGCATGGAGATACTTTGATTCTTGAGGAAGGACATAGGCTACTGTTTACCGCGATAACCGACACAAACGCGGGCGGAGCCATGTGCAAAATATAGTTTTATATAATTCTAATTTAATAACTTGCATAGTTGCTATGGGAAATAAGCTCAGAGATCGAAATGGAGACGCTGTTAGCTGGAAGACAGGTTCTTAGCCTTTTTCAGCAACAGAACAGATGCCAATACCGAACTCTGATGGTCTACAAGTATATTAACAACCACAAACTATGTGTAAATATGAATAATGTTTTAGGATTTAATAAATTTTAATTTTAGCTATTTTTTTACAGTTTAAGGGGCAAACGAGCAAACTGGTCAGCTGGACCTAGTGCAAGTCACCGTGGCGATCGAGTAGTAGTGAAACTTGGGCCTTTGAAAGAAAGTGACTTGGAAAAGTCTTGGACGGCGGTAGTCACTTGGACTCAGGAGTCACAGTTGTTGGTTAAAGGAGTCGGCTTTTCAGATGAGAGTATTCTCTTTTCTTGAAGGTTATGAGGTCAGTTTTTTTTCTAATTTATAAGGTTTAAGCGGTCGCCACGCCGCTTACTACTACGCTGAGTGTTGTGGGTTCCCCACTTTATGGGACGCCACTTTATGTGATCCACAAATTGTCGTTCTGAGTCTGGGTGTTCTTTGTGTCTGTTTCATGTATGTTTGTAAAGTCCCCTGCGACATAGGATATATACCTAGTGCTGGAGTAGTCTTTATAAAAAAGATTGTTTTTCTAAGAGTGCACACTTATAGGCACACTGGTACACAGACAGATGAAAGCTGAATTGGCTAGGCTAGAGACTAAAACGTTTACAAAGACAAAGACAAAGACATTTATTGCAAAGAAAACTGTGTTACATATATAGATGTTTTGTGGTAAGTAAAGTTTCAACAGTTACCCAATCGGGCATTGCAATTTTAAAGTACACTATAAATAAAAATGGAATATTACAATAAGTTTAAAAGGCATGCAAATTATTTTGTGAGAAAATACTCTTGAACATTATAGAATAAGGTACTTGCGGTAAATAAGGGCCACCTTAATTTAAATCTCATGAAAAGGTACAAATTTAAAAATAAAACAAAAAATGAAAGCAAAAGAGAAATATTCAAAGTTTTATTTGTCAAAAACCGTATAAATATTGGTGTTAATATCACAATTTCAATCAAAAATTAGGTACTTTTAAAACCATATCTATGGCCCTTATTAAACTTAGGCAGTATAATAAAGACCACAGATACTTTTATTATTGGTAACAGTAACTTTAATTAATACTCAGTCTTCTCATTTATTTTATCTTATATTATTATTTAGGCATTGAATCACAATTTAGCTACAACGAATTCTGGGGTAAAAACAATAATGGCCCTTATTAAACTTATGTAACAAAGAAATAACAATAAAAGAGTTTTTGGGTATAATTTCCACAAAAATACTATGTTATCGAATAAAGAATTCTTTATTCTTTCACAATTTTAGACAGGAAATAAAAATTGAACCTACTTAAATTATAAAAAAAAAGTAATGGCCCTTATTCAACCTATGAAATATTAAATTACGTTATAAATCTTTTAATATGTAACAAATATATCAGTCATTCTTAGAAACTTACCTATCATAGAAAATGTTAAGTCTAACGCATGAAAAAATAAAAACAATAAATAACGACTATCAAATTAAATCAATCCTCAATCATTAAGGATTTTAAATAATAACATAAGTATTACTCCAAATAATTTAAAATATACATATAAAACCTCTAAACAAACGTACAAAAGTAAAATAAATCAACTATCGAACATTTTCTTAATATAAAAATTAGAGAGATCAATTTATGTTTATTTTTAATTTAGTTGCAAATCGGACAATCAAAATCTATGTCTTCTTTGGTCAAACCAAGACATTCTTCATGAAACCATTTTCGTCAGAGTGGACACTGACGCATATCTTCACAACGTTCAGCATTACACGCGTGGCAGTACCATTTATCATTATCGTCATCTATTTCTTTGGTCTTTTTCTTTAAGTCTGTCTTTGGTTTTTTCGTGATTTTTCATATCTTTGAGATTCGTGTTCTGTTTTCCTGCTTCTTTTCATTTCTTTTTTCTTTTCCTTTTCTTTGAATAAATCTTTTGTTATTATGCGACCCTTATAATTTATTGCCTTTCTTCGCCTTGGTTTATTTTTAATAACAACATAATTAGGTGTGGGTATCAATTGCTGGAATGAAGATGTTGTTGCAGAATTTGAAGGAACTCTCAAGTTTTCTAAAGGAATATTATCTTCTGAATCTTCGTCGCTTGATACAAGGTGGTAGTCACGTCCTATTACGTCCACATGAGTACTTGAAATATTAATCTTTTTGATAGGAGTATGTTGTTCCATTGATCCTGGGTTTCTGTTCTCATCATCGGAAGAACTATATATATTAGTTATAGATTCGAAATTTGGGCGATGTATGTGTTGGGAAATCAATGCTTCGTCAAAAGAGGAATCAGACTCAGAACTATAAATTATTGGTCTGGTGATTGTAGTGTGGTAATACTTTTCTAATTTAATATGTTTATTTAATACATCAACTCAGAATAACGATCAAGGTAACATTGAAATGTCATTAAATTAGATTACAAGATTCATAAGTTTAATAAAAGCCGGCCCCTATTACCCGCCCAGAAAGTGGCTCTCGTTAGCCTCTTAGACTTGTTTCACAAAATTAAATGAAAAATGTACACAAAGAAGTAAAACAATGGTAAACTTACCATGATTTGTCCGTAATAATGATTTTGTTATAGTTTTTAATTAGAAATCTCATGAAATTTAGATATTTTTAGCCTTAAAATTCTTAAACTACTTGTGAATTTTTTACTAATGAGTGGCGTAGTTCTACTCTTCGGACGTCGTCGTGGCTACTGACAAAATGGCGGATCGCGTGAAGTTGCGAGTGCGAATTTAAGCCTTCTGATTGGTCCTTCACATGTGTGCGTGAATGGGATCTAAATAAATGAATTAGAAATGTGTTTTTGTAGTATTGGTCCTTGTTAGACAGCGGCCCTTCTTACCCGCAGGTACCTTACATTCTTTATTAACCATTTCTTTAGAGCATTCTTGAACATTTTTTCACCTAATATCTTTATTTCTAGCGGGAGCTTATTAAATACTCTTATTGCTGTTATGTATGTGATTTTATAGTATATTATATATATATATATATATATATATATATATTATAGTTTGGTAAAAGTCAAGGTTTATCTAACCGGATCTACGAGTATCTTATTGTTTCTTTATATACGTGTTTATCTCCAGAACCGTAAATCGGATTTGGATGATCATTGAGGATTCATTGAGGAAGATTATAGGCTATGTATCGTCACGCTATAATCTTATTAAGGAGCGAAGCAGTGATCATAATCGCAAATGACTCCGCGTGAAATGGTAAAAAGATTTAAAATGAGGTTTAGTTATGATTTTGCTTGAAACTTATAAACGAATAAAGCAGTTAACACGGCCAAAGGAGGAAATAAAGTAGAATAACATTGGTGCATATTGTTTAATTGTGTTCAGTTATAATTCCTTTTCGAAAACGAAACTAGAATGTTTTGATAGAATAGTGGATATTCATAGGTTTTTAACTATTTTTTCAGACTTATGTACTTACTTTGTAGACTAACTCATATATTTACGTTGTTTTAAAACAATTATTTAACTGTAGCAGCACGGAGATTGGTCGTTTATCGACCAAACTCCGTGCTGCAACGGATTGTCACGAATCAAAAGTGGTAAAGATGGTAATTTTTTAATGGCTGTTTTTTTTAATAATTCACATAGCCCATACCTATTTACAGGTTAAAATTTAGAGGAACAATAAGAATTAAAAAGACATTTTGAATTTGGTAAGGATCTGGACTATTAAATAAAATAACAGAATTACTTTACAGAGGCATTTGTTGTTGTGAATATGAATGACGGTTAAATGTTTTATAGCAGGTATACATAAATTATGGTTCATCTGAGGCCCAGGTGTAACGGCCCGTTCACGACCTTGCCGCTGTGAGCGGCAGCTAAGCGCGGGGCGGCGAGCGATAATATCAAAAGTATAAAAATGTTTGAGGCACGCCACGAGACGCCGTTTTTTCCGAGCGAATTGCTACAGCGGCGCGCGGTGTGGAGAGCGGAAGGAACAAAAGTACAAGTGAATGAGTGCGACGCCACGAAACAGAGCGGCGTGGACAGCGGTGCAGGAGTGACGCACTCAGCGGCGTTAATAAAAACAAAAATTTTTAGACGATTTTGTGGCGGTAATGAATACCGAGGCATTTATAACGGAAATTTTAAATAGACCGCCTATATGGATGTCAAAACATCAACAACATAAATATAAAAACGTTATAAAAAGGTTGTGGGAAGAAATTAAACAATGTTTTCCGGAATATAATAGTAAGTTTAATTTAAATTGATAACACAAAAACATAGAACCTAGGTACCTACCAAACGAAGCTACTAATATGTTGACAAAACTACTGGTATGTTTACGTAATGTAGGTAGATAGTTGACAAGTTTTTAAAGTTTATTTTTTTCTCTGTCAGTAGGTAGATACCTAACTAGCAAAACACTTAGTAAACATATTAGTAGTTTCGTCTGTATGTAACTACACACTACTAGTATGTCTTATACGCTATGTAAGTAGTTGACAAGTTTTTAAAGTTTTTTCTCTCTGTAAGTACCTACTTGGCAAAACACTTGGAAACATATCAGTAGTTACGTATGAAGGTACATGACAATTATCTGTATTTCATTTACACTTACCTCAAAGTGAGAAACAATTTTTCTGGATTGGTGACTACCCTTTTGGATCTGATGTGCTGTTTTAATAATACTTCTATGTGCTGCAGAATGTAATCAAAAGTTTTCACACTCATTCTTGTGTACTCATAAAACTTATTTGGATATTTTCTGTAAGCTTCGTATAGGTCACGAAATTCGACATTTAAATACCGATCTTTATTTACTTCGTGCACTCCTTCTCTCATATTAAGAATATCTATGTATAATATGTATGTATTTACAAAAAAAAAAGTATATATGTATTTATATCAGTTGTCTAGTACCCATAGTACAAGCTCTGCTTAGTTTGGGACTAGATGTGTGTATGTGGTAGAATATATTATATTATTATTATTATTATCTTGTTTTAAAAATGTACTGTTTTCTAAACAGAGAAGGGATAATTTTGATAACGCCATGATTTTGAACACGTTTTGACTACCTAAATACGTCCAGTGTGGTCGCTGCAACTAACCGCTACTGAGGGTACGTGGCGTGCAAAACGCACCGCTCACCGGCGCCGCCCCGCTCGCCGCGCCGCGCTTCGCTAAGACCAAAGTCGTGACCAGGCCGTAAGTTTATTTCACATCTACCAGATCGTCACAATGATTGCGTTCGGCGCTGCGATAGGACCGCACTGAAATCTGCACCAATCGCAATTTTTAATAATAGCGAGATTATTTATTGGACAGAAAGTAGCTGTTACATTATTTCCTAACATCTAAAGCATGCATCTATTATATTAAGATTAATGCACAACATTTTAAGGCGTCACAACATGCATAATAGAGTAACACTATATAAAACTAAAAATAGAAAAAAACATCTGTGATTTTAACACTTAATTGAACAAATATAAAACAAAGAATAGAATATAATAGTATATAAAATAAACAATTAACAAGCTTATTACCATTATATGATTTTAACTTTAACTACCTAAGAGACTACTTGAATCATTTGCTAAGCCTAACTAACCTCATAGCAAGTTTTGATGTGAACTCACACTCGGGCCTGTGTTCATTACTTCAAGATGATACGAAAAATATCACGATGTCAACGAATCCATAAACCACAGATAATAAACTTGTTCTCAAAGAAGTTTGTACCAAGTCGGATTATAAGGAAAACTTTAAAAATTTGATATAAGAACTGATTCCGTCAACAAGAATTTCAAGGTTAAGTTGATTTAAGTAACACGAATACAACATTGAACTGTATTATGTATTTGTTATGTTCATAATATGGCGTAGTATCATAAATTTGGGTGCAATGCACTGTGGCAGTCTACCTTTGTGATGGCTTTTGTATATTTTGATTGTTTTATGGTATGGCATACAAGCAGCAACTCAATGATATTTTAAGGAAGATACGTTATATTCATACTGCACGCACAAAATATTTGTTCCGTAAACATACAACTATTAATGCATTTTAGAAACACACATACACTTACCTATGGTATGATATTTTTTTATCTTTATTTACCCTTTTGTCGTAATTTGTGCACTTTCGGAATATACAGGAAGGCATTTTATAAATTTTCTCGAATTATTTAGTACGTGCGCTCGCTCGCAGTGGTCCTAATTAGGACCCTCACGTTTTGTGCATTGGTGGCGTATCTACCTCTTGTTTGTATGTAATATCACTAGCTTTTGCCCGCGGCTCCACTCGTTTAAATGTCGGTTATCGCGGTAAAAAATAGCCTATGTCTTTCCATAAGAATCAAAGTAACTTCATACCAAATTTCATATAAATCGGTACAGCGGTTATTGATTCCCCTTACAAACTTCCAAGGATGTTTTCTGCGATAGAAACTACCCTAAGACCTTTCTCGAGATTCGGACGATCTCTATACCAAATTTCATCTAAATCGATTCAGCGGTTTAAGCGTGAAGAGGCAACAGACAGACACACGCATTTATAATATTAGTATGCTGCAACTTAAGAGCACTCAACAGTCGCAAGTGGGTATGTGCCCTTGCTTAATTTGGGTGGAGGGGAGGGTTTCCTCAAACTCACTCAGTGAAATGGAACGAACTAATTACCTAACACCGGTTTTTTTCTGAGGCCATGGACGTTGTGTGCCGAAGTAATATTATATTGGAATATACAAATGTTTGGGCTTCTCCCGCGACCCTGAACTGTCCGCGATAGCGAGGACCTACTGTAGCTACTTTTCTAAACAAAAAGTCTTAATAAGCGTCATGTTAAATTAAATTATCCTCGAAAATAGCCTTATTATTTTGAATTAACCTTTACGTAGTCTATACAAATAAATAAAATTGGAGTGTCTGTTTGTAATATTAAAATAACCGCTTTTTACTAAATGCATATGTATGTTTACACGGTACATATGCCAAAATAACATTTTTGTCTGTCTGTCTGTTTGTTCCGGGTAATCTCTGGAACGGCTTTACTGATTTCGACGGGACTTTCACTGGCAGATAGCTAATGACATAAGGAGTAACTTAGGCTACTTTTTTTAGACTAGCTTTGTCCCGCGGCGTTGCCCGCGGTTATAACAACAAACGCGGGTAACACCGCGGGTCTCAGCCAGTATAAATTAAAGTCGCTTTTTATGTTGTACGTTTAGATCTTTTAAACTAAGCAACGGATTTTAATGCGGTTTTCACCAATAGAGAGAGTGATTTAAGAGGAGAGTTCAAATGTATAATACATGCATATTATAGTAGATAAAATCCGAGAATTTAAAGATTTGTCGTAAAAAAAACATGTTTTTGCTGGCTACTCCTTACGAGATAGACCAAAATAATGTACTACGGAATTGTATATCTTAAAAATATCTACAGAAAAGTCCTTGATGGTATATGTCTATCTCCTAAGGATGACCCACAGTAACCATTTTTATCTTTTGAATATAACGAAAACATGTGTTATCTATTATTATATTATTTTAAACAATACATTATGTTTTCTTATCGAATTAAATACTTTAGATACGTTGTACATTTAATGTAGCTTAAAATCGCTCTTAACAGCATATAAAAATGAATATTTTGGAAGATATTAGAGGTTTAAAATGCTGGGACAAAGCGACCATTCGCCGCGTTGGCCGTACGTTTGTCCCTTATGGCAGCGGCCGGCAGAACCGTAGCGGGCCTATAAATACTCATTTTTTTTTTTTTTTCTCATTTAAAAAAAAAAGACAACTCCCGCATTAGGAATATATCCTGTGTCGCTGGGGACTTTACAAACATACATGAAACGGACACAAAGAACACCCAGACTCAGAACAACAATTTGTGGATCACACAAAGTGTCGTCCCATGTGGGGTTTGAACCCACAACACTCGACGTAGTAGGAAGCGGCGTGGCGACCGCTTAAACCACTACGCCATCCGTGCAGTCATTAGTACATTCATTCAGTACTGCATTTAAAGATGTCCTGGAGTATAGTCTTATCATAATAATAGTATTATTAATTACTCCACATTGACACCACATTTGTAGTATTAGTAGTATCTACATTGCACCCGTGCGAAGCCGAGGCGGATCGCTAGTAGAATATATATATCATAATTATCATCTTCATAGTGCCCTTTTAAAATTTTAATTGAGGTCGCCGCATTGTAAAGTGGGGACTATAAAACTGAATGACTGTTTATTCTAGTGGTTAAAGACAAAACTGACTGCGAAAAAGGATGTCGTGAGTTTGATTCCCAGGAGAAATAATTATGGGATGAACATGATCATTTGTTTTATATCTGGATATAATGTTTATCAGCAGTCTGGTTAACATACAGTCTCCAGCTCCGCCTAGTTTGGGATGAGACGGCCGCGTGTGGGATGTGTAAACAGAATTTTTAACCGACTTCAAAAAAAGGAGGAGGTTCTCAATTCGTCTGTATTTTTTTTTTTATGTTTGTTACCTCAGAACTTTTGACTAGGTGAACCGATTTTGATGATTCTTTTTTTTTTACTTTTAAACGTGCTTTTTGAAGAACTGGTACAATATTATTATATCTTTATTCTCTTCTCTCTCTCTTATATGTGATAAAAAATCCTATTCCTCTTCAGATTTCAGCTTTACATATTGACGATGAATTTCCTTGTAATATCTTACTAGTTCTTTTCCATAGGATTTAAAGTATTGGATTTTAAGTTATATTTCTTACATTTCAGAATAATAATAAAATTGGTTAAAACTAAATGAAATGATTTGTGTTTTATTCGATTTGAATCGCTGTATCTTTCTTTCTTTCTCTTTTTGAAAGACAACTCACGCGCTAAGAATATATCCTGTGTCGCGGGGGACTTTACAAACATACATGAAACGGACACAAAGAACACCAAGACTCAGAACGACAATTTGTGGATCACACAAAGTGTCATCCCATGTGGGGATCGAACCCACAACACACGGCGTTGTAGGAAGCGGCGGCGCTTATAGGTATTTTTAAACATATCCTAAGTTTACAATGCTAACGCGGGAGAGTCCTGGTTCGGTATATGGGTTAGCTGGACTGGAGTGTTTTTTTTTTATGTTAGAGGGGACAGACGAGCAGACGGGTCACCTGATGGAAAGTGACCATCGCCGACTATGAACGTCTGCAACTCAGGATTTACAAACGCATTGCCGGTGTTGTGTTACCAGGGCCTCATTGAAGACAGATCTTTCGTTGCATTTCACCAAGTAAGTGAGCCTACCCTCTATGCCAAAAAAAAAAACAACAATTATAAGTGTTGTTAAAATCCAACTCTTCACTGTTAATTTTATAATTATAAAACGTTATCACCGCCATTTATATCAATTTCGAGTTAACCGTTTTTTTTCTTTTTAATCTAAAGTAATTAAACTTATCATCACGTGTCACGTCTTCTTGTTTTTACTTCAAAAGCCTGTTTTGAAGATACATATAATTGAATCTAATTTACTGTAATATATCACTTTAGCTGTTAAGAAAATAAATTGCGAACTGCATAGAAAACTAGAAAATTAGTAATATTTTTGATTGGCAACATCGTTTACATATTGATGATTGGCAACACCGTTCACACCTAAATTATAGTATAACTAGCTGACCCGGCAAACGTTGTATTGCAAAACAAAAAAAAATAGGGATGGGTTACCCTTACCATTTAGGGGTATGAAAAATAGACGTTGGCCGATTCTCAGACCTACCCGATGTTCACACAAAATTTCATGAGAATCGGTCAAGCCGTTTCGGAGGAGTACGGGAACGAACATTGTGACACGAGAATTTTATATATAAGATTACAGTGTTTATGTAAATGTATCCCTATATTGGTATTGGTTGTGGGCTCCGGTTTCCGCATTTAGACTCAAGAGTTTATGTGTCGAGGACAGGTTGGCTAGGTGAGCCAACCAAGCTCCTTCCCGAAGCGTAGAAGCCTCCTGGGGCGTTCACAGGCTTCTAGGAGATTGGGATTGGGATTTTGGGATTGGGATTAAGGGATGAACGGTTGTGTGAAAGTTTGTCATTTTCAAAGTTTAGAAACAGGAAGTATTCACGCGAGCGAGGACGCAAACAGTAGCTACTACCTTGTAAATTTATTTATTTATTTACAAAAGGTACAATTACAGAATACGGACTAAATAGTGCTTAATTATAACATTTTTTAATATGCACTCCAATTACTTACGTATTTAGCTTCAGTAAGTGAAGGTTACAAAATAAAAACAAACATAATACAAAAAAATAAAAAAAGTGTGTGTGTGCAATTCACACACAGCTGAAGTGGAACTTCCGAAAAAAAATATTTTTCTTTGGTTTTATCTCAGAAAAATCCTATAAACTTTGCCTGGCCCGGGAATCGAACCCAAAAAGGCAGCGAACGAAGTGGTTCCAGCTAGTTTTAAATAAAAATATTCAAACTGCCAAAATATTAAATTAAAAATAATGTGTATTGTATTCTATCTCATTCTCTCGCCGACTTAATCCTATACATTTATGTGTTTATTTCTTTATCGTGATGCATTTTCGTTTCATCGATTCTAAAGAAGTTTCACTTTAAAATTTATAAAAATAATGTAAATATGTAGCTAAAACAAGTCCATGTCTTAGTACATTCAATTTCCGTAAGATGCCATAAATATGCTGTGACCACCAACAAATATATCAACATTGGAACAAATATCATTATATTGGCTACACATTTAAAACAGTGGACTATTTTAATAATATCTTCTATAGAAATAAATAAAATTGGAGTGTCTGTTTGTAATATTAAAATAACCGCTTTTTACTAAATGCATGTGAACCGTGTGGTGACGGATTAAGAATACAGAGTGTCTCCACCCCTATTCATACCGTGGGTGTCGTAAGAGCCGACTAAGGGAAAAACTAAGCAGGACAACAGCACTGCAGAGAGAAGGAAAACTGGACACAAACCCTTTACCCAACCCGTCTGGCCAGCGTGGTATAGTAGGCCAAATCCTCCTTTCTAAGGAGAGGCCTATGTCCAACAGTGGCCTTTTAAAGGCTGTTGATGATGATGATTCGAGATTTTATATAAAATGGAATGTCGCTCATCCATTTCCTTCGTCCAAATACACTTGAGAGCAATGAATCCAAATCGGATTTTGAAATCCGTGTGCTAGGCAGAGTCTGTACATTCCGATAACACAGGCTCTGTCTTGCTTGTAAGGTTGGTTATTATTTTTATTATTATTGGTGTATATATACTTACCCCCACTTTGCCTGGTACGTTTCTTTCCAATTTTCGTTTTTTTGACAATCACTTGATATTTATTCTTGGTGTTATAAACCTGCCCTGGAGCATAGCTGGCCGTAGTAACATTGTTCAGCGCATAAATATTCCCCTTCTTGAGCCCATAGCTTGAATATCCCTGGAGTCCAGAACTGTAAGTTTGATACCCATTACCAGTAGTATACACATACTGATAGCATGGCTTACTATTCCCACCCCACTTCTTCCCATAGGAATACTGACAGTTTGATGAACTGGTATCTGGATAGTGATAACTATAACCTGGTACTCCATGGGTACCGTGACTTCCTGCGTAAACCCCATGGTTGCCGCCGTAGACTCCAGTATTACCACCATGAGAAGAATGGCTGTAAAAACTTTGGAATAAGGTGTCCAGCGCTTCATAGTACTCTGGAGAATGGGTTGGAGTCGGTGGTTTATAAACCAGTGGGGTTTTAAGACATTTCTGGGCATTTTGAGCAAGAATTAGAAACACGGGGAAACTTTGTATTAAACTGCAAACAGTGCTTTCTTTGACAGTCATCTTGTGTGTACGAGATTTAAAAACGTACTGGCTGAAGTTATGGTTTCCCCAGTGTTGCCAGAATTAGGTTATCAATAAATCAGTTGTTATTTGTTTCGTAATGTTGGTAGTGTTTTGGATTTTATTCATAAGTTAATGGCTAGTATTTACGCTCGGTTTAAATGTCACAATAGAAATTTGTTTATAATCATTTTATTATCTCAAATATCATCAGATTTTGTTGATAAATCAACTTTCACTTTAATCCAAGGTAATTTATGAAATATCCGCGTTTGTCGTTAGATGCAGAGGATATTGCAGGTTGTATATTGAGTCTCCATAATAATAGTTTATTATAACTTTTATATTTTATCTGTCTCTTTTTCAAATTTGTCATTGGCGCAATATGTTTTCTGTTATGGCTGGTCGCCATCTTGACGCCAATCCTCATTGAGAATGTAATTCTTCTAAGACGAAAGAGAGGAAGAAAGTAAACTGGAGTCAGGAAAACGGATATCATACTTCTAACTCCTGCTTGAAATAGTGAGGGCATCACCTCCAACCCTCTTTATACCAGCCCCGGATCTACGATGTATCGAACCGGGCAGAAACATGATAGTAGCGCCCCTCTCGTCAGCGTTTAAGAAAAATTACTTTAAAAACCTTACAAATATACATATAAGTTAACTTGTAGTGTGGGCCTGTGTGGCGCCTTATTCTTACAAGACGACTGTGAGCAAACCAGGCTTCCGTAAGCTAGGCACTTTTGTTATTTTCAATCATTTTATGATTTTGGCGCCCCCTGAAACTGTCGCCCGGGGCTGCTGCCCCGGTTTGACCCCCACCCCTCCTAGATCCGGGGTTGCTTAATACTTCATTAATACTCTAATGACTCGCACGTTCGTGTAGTGGATAATTTATTGTGTATGATCATATGTGTGTGTATGATGTGTGTATGATCATGAACATAATGTTTGTATGATCTGCAAATATTTGTTCCGGAGTTTGGGTGTTTTCTATGTATAATATATATGTATTTACAAAAAAAGTAAATCAGTATTGTAGCAGTCAATCCAGCTTTCATAGTACAAGCTCTGCTTAGTTTGAAAATAGATGGCGTTGTGTGTAAGATGTCCGAAAATATTAGTATTATAGTGCGCCATAGAGTTTAAAATATGCGAATACGGTTACATGAAACTATAGACGTAAAGCATATACTTTTATACCATGAGGACCCCAACGGTCCTCATGGTATAAAAGTATATACAATGATAGTTCTAAATATACTGAAAAATATACCTATTGTAACAAATGCACTCTTAAAAAAATACCTCACATCAACAGCCTTTAATATTCCACTGCTGGATTTAAGCCTCTTCTTAGAAAGGAGGTTTTGGCCTACTATACCACGCTGGCCAGACGGGTTGGTATACGGTTTATGTCAAGTTTTCCTTCTCTCTGCAGTGTTGTTGTTCTGCGTAGTTTGCTCCCTTAGTGGTGACCCTTTGTATTCTTAATCCGTCACCAAACGGATATAAATAAATAAAAAATACCTATTGTAACAAATACTTTGATTTTTATTCTTAATTCAAATCATTTGGCCAGAATCATAAACAATTGCAAATTTTCGATGTCTAAAACGTCTTAAGCCCTTTAATGTTTCGACGCCAAAACGCAACTACTGTAATAGTAAATCAAATCCTTATACAGAAGTTCCCTTTCGCAGTCTCACAATTTCCTATATAATCTAAATTCAGTGTCAACATGATAACATACACCTATAGCTTAAAAAGGGCCAATGAGTAATACAACAGCAATATTAATCTTATATCCTGTTAGTCAGTTACGAATAACTAAACTAGGATTTACAGATAAACGCGGGAAAATTAATTATATTTCCTTGACATACGGAACGGATCCAATTTATTAGGCATACTGTGACATTCTTTGAATATTACGTGCACTCTGAGTAATGGAACGTAGGTGGCATAGTAATTGGTTTAGATACATGTATTAATGACAATTTATTAGAGGATTTTGGTAAAAAAATGTCCTCATTGTTTGAGGAGGTTAGGTTAGGTTAGGTTAGGTTTCGTTCGCTAGCCCCTCTGTCGCCAGCCGAGTCCACGACTGGCGTGTCGCCGTGGAGGTGGAGACACTGTCGGACCATCGGTATATCCGGTTCGACGTCTCTGCCCAGACCGCGAGCGGCCGCCATCCAACAACCCCGATTAACGACGGCCCGCGTTGGGCGCTTAAGCGCATCGACAAGGAACTACTCGAGGAAGCTGCTTTAGTCCAGTCCTGGATTTGGGAGTCGGCGACGGACGGCCCCGTCGACGTCGAAGCGGTGGCGCTGTGGTTTCGCGGGGCGATGACGCAGATATGCGACGCGTCCATGCCCCGTGTCCGCCAACAGTCCGCAAGGCGCCGGGTGTACTGGTGGAGCGACGAGATCGCTCGGCTGCGCGTTGAGTGCGTTGCGGCTCGCCGCCGGTACACGCGATACCGGAGACGACGTCGACGGGATTCCGTCGAGGAAGACGCGCTGTATGAGGTGTACCGCGCGTCCAAGGAGACTCTGTGGCTGGCCATCGGCGACTCTAAGTCGCGTGCCAGGGAGGAGTTGCTGGGGTCTCTAGATCGGGACCCGTGGGGGCGCCCCTATCGTTGGGTACGGGGCAAGTTGCGTCCCTGGGCGCCTCCACTTACTCAAAGCATGCAACCCCAGTTGCTAGAGGCGGTGGTATCGGCCCTCTTCCCTGAGCGAGCGGGACACGTTCCCCCGGCGATGGCTCCGCCCTCAGCCACAGACTCTCCAGAAGAGGAGAGCACCGATGTCCCCGAGGCGACGCAAGCGGAGACGAGAGCGGCCGTGTCGCGACTCCGGGCTAAGAACACAGCGCCCGGACCCGACGGAGTTCCTGGTCGAGCTCTCGTCCTGGCTCTGAAGGAGCTAGAGCCCCAGCTGAGGGGGCTCTTCACGGCATGTCTTGAGCAGGGTCAGTTTCCCAGTGTGTGGAAGGAGGGGAGGCTGGTCCTGCTCAGGAAGGAGGGGCGCCCCGCGGACTCGCCGTCCGCGTATCGGCCCATAGTGCTGCTCGACGAGGCGGGCAAACTTTTTGAGCGTATTATCGCAGATCGCCTCGTCAGCCACTTGTGCAGGGAGGGGCCGGACCTGGACGACAACCAATTTGGTTTTCGTCGGGGGCGCTCCACCATAGACGCCATCATGCGCGTGAGGGCCCTGGCGGAGGAGACAGTGTCCCGGGGTGGGGTGGTGCTGGCGGTGTCTTTAGACATCTCCAACGCATTCAACACCCTACCCTGGAGTTGTATTCGGGAGGCTCTGAAATACCATCGCGTGCCTCCCTACCTCCGCCGTACGGTAGGGGCTTATCTGGAGGGTAGATGCGTCACCTATCGGGGACGTGACGGTGCTGGTCGGCACCTCATGTCGTGCGGTGTTCCGCAGGGATCGGTCTTGGGACCGCTCCTGTGGAACATCGGCTACGACTGGGTGCTGAGAGGCGAGCTCCCGTCGGGCGCCGACTTGACGTGTTATGCGGACGACACGCTTGTTACTGCCCGGGGGAGCTCGCACAGGGAGGCGACGTTGATAGCCACGGCTGCGGTGTCACAGGTGGTGAACCGCATCCGGCGCCTGGGCCTGGAGGTGGCCCTAAACAAGTCGGAGGCCATGGTGTTTCATGGCCCCCGACGTGCGCCGGCGCCGGGATCACACATCGTGGTCAGCGGGGCCCGGATAGCTGTCGAGTCCACCATGAAGTATCTGGGATTGGTGCTCGACAGCCGATGGGAATTCGGGCCCCACTTCCGGCGGCTGGCGCCCAAGCTGATGGGTGCAGCGGGCGCGCTTTCAACGTTGCTTCCCAACTTGGGGGGCCCGAGCGCCGCCTGTAGGCGGTTGTACGTGGGAATCGTGCGGTCCATGGCCCTGTATGGGGCCCCTGTGTGGGCGTTGGACATGACGGCCAGCACTCTCGCCATTCTGCGCAAACCGCAGAGGGCGATGGCCGTCAGAGTCGTCCGCGGGTATCGCACGATTTCCTACGAGGCGGCTTGCGTCCTGGCCGGATCCCCGCCCTGGGACCTGGAGGCGAAAGTACTCGCGTCATTATACCGATGGCGCGAGGAAGAGCGGGCACGTGGCCCGAGGCCGGTGCAGCGGCATATCGCGCTGCGCCGAGAGGAGCTCCGTCAGGTCTTGGTGGCGGAATGGCGGCAAAGGCTTCTGCGCCCTACCGCCGGCCTCGCTACCGTCGAGGCGATCCGGCCAGTACTCGACGACTGGCTCGGGAGAAGGCACGGCTCCCTGTCGTTTAGGGTGACGCAGGTGCTGTCGGGGCACGGCTGCTTCGGCAAGTACCTGTGCCGCATAGACAGGGAGCCGGACGCTCGGTGCCACCACTGCGTCCATTGCGGGGAGGACACGGCGCAACACACGCTCGCCGAGTGTGTAGCTTGGGAGGAGCAGCGCCGTATCCTCACAAATGAAGTAGGAGGCGATCTATCGCTGCCGGCCGTAGTGCGGAGGATGGTCGGTAGCGTAGAGTCGTGGGACGCGGTGGTGTCCTTCTGCGAGGACGTGATGTCGCAGAAGGAAACTGCGGAACGGGAGAGGGAGATCTCGACTCCTTTCCCCGGCCGCAGAAGGCGCACCGGGCGCAGGAGAAGGGCGGATAACGCCCTTTTCCGGCCCCCATGAATGGGTCCAGGGGCGAGAGACTTGGGGAAGTCCCCGCCCCCTATCCGTTGGACCCGAGGCGGAGGCGCGCGCGGGTGTCGGCGCGCGCCTCTGAGGCGAGGCCCGGGGTAGTTAAACACCTCACTACCCCGTGCAGGAGACGAGGCCCGGACAGACCGGGCCAGCACTAGTGTAGGGCTGCGGAAGAATTTGGATTCCCGCGGCCCCGCGTGCATGTGTGAG